GGGATCATTCCAATAGTAAAACGCACATCCCCTCCCCGCGGGGATGTACGTGTATACGGGCCTTAGACTTTGTGAAGTTACGCTCCCAGCTTCAAAGACATCGCCAGCGGCCCAGTGCAAAAGCGTGACTTGAAACTGGAACCGAGAAGATTACTCCGGATGCTGGGAGTGACTCCACAGAGTGGAAGACCCTGCCCACCCGCTGATTCCTCTCTGCGTTGAAGTTCTTTTTCGCCGTTTTCGCTCTTTCAAGTGTGAATTCTTAGCAGCATAGCGAATGGTCCCAGGTAAACATAAACACAAAACCTCAAAATCGACTTCTTACCTGGAACTGCCTTTAAATGTTAATAGCTTTTTAATTATTTTACCAAAGAATATTGAGATTCGGCTTTTCCACCTTTTCAGTGGGGAAACGATTGAAAAACGCATTTCCGAAAGGAGTGCGGAGCCCAGGCGAAGCGGCCATGGGGATTCAAACCGCACGAGTAGCTCATTTGCATTTGCTCTGTTATTGTTATCAGCGTGTGATAGCAGATTGAGAAGACTTCATTTTTATAGAAAATGCTAAAAAATCAAAAAGTCGATGAAGAGGCCGAGCGAATTGCCGCTTGCTTAAGTTTCTTTGGAAATTGTCTTTGGAAGAAAACAGCAGGTGCTTCAATTTTGATTTTCGCACACATTTGGTCTTGTATCAAAACAATATTGCAGAGGAAATTAGACAACTTTACGAAGAATCGCGAAATAAAACTGCCACCCAGCCAAACATGATATTACTTGTAGATAAGAGCGAAATAAGTCGCATAAGACCTCAAAGCACCAATCAAAATCCCCAGTAGCGTGACTAAAGGTTCCCTTTCTGCAAATGCACGTTCCGTTTCAGAGTTACGGCCGAGTTTCTCAAGTTCACAGCCAACTCAAAAGTAGTCTTGCGCAAAATTACTTGTCTATATGACCCAAAGATGAGCTTCCCATTCACGCAAACCTAGAAAGTGGAAGGGAGTTAAAAATCCTTTCATACATTATCACTATCTTTCCCGAATACCTTCCCCAAATAACAACACGCCAACCCAAGTGTCAACGTCAGGTTCCGTCTCTTTGCAGACGAAGTTTTCAAATTCATAGCACGGGAACGCCATCTTAAAATAAAGTCTAACCTCTCTCACTTTCAAAAACAAGGCATAAAACAAATACAAGAAGTTGAAGATCATCGCAAATAAGGTTATTTGTAAGCGATAGTGGCGAAAGTTTGTTATCAGACCCCACCACCTAGACGTGGCAATAACAAAATTAACAATTTTGCTTTATCGATCTGCTTGCGCCGACTAATTTCAAAAACGATATTGCGAGCTCAACAGGAAGAGGATTGCGATGGCGAAAGCAGCGAATATATCCCATGATATCATTGTGCTTCATAAAGTAGACTTGCAGCGGACGACGTAAACCTGCGACCCTCTCTCCAATAGAGAACTATAGGCGTAATCTACAGTGTATTTGTTTGTGCGTGCAGCAGATTTGATGATCAAAAACAATGTTTGACATTTTTCTGTTGAGCTCGAAGATACTTGTTCGAATCTGCTGGATCGCTTTGTCCCATACAGGCTCTGTCGAAGGCGATCTGCCAAAACATTAGCAGTAGAATGATAAATTGATTACAATTTCGTGTATGGCCATGTAAGAAAGAACAAAGTACTACTATCGTGCCGAGATTCATTGAAAGTCGCACCGTTCAATTATTCTTAAGATTGACACCAATTTTCGTTTCCATGCTGCCTATACCGTTTTCGTCTATGCTCCCACGTAGTACAAACGTTTTCTTAAAGTTTTTTCGAAGTCTCAAAAACCTTAAAATATAGGGGGTCCTTGATTATAAATCGCACTTCATTTGCGTTGAGAAATATTGAAAAATTTGAAGTTGGCGCCTTTTGAGGAAATTCTGCTAAAAACAAACCTTGTAGGTCTGTTATATTAGGTCGGTGCAAAAGTTTTGTCAGTTTTTTCAATTTATCGGCAAACACGCTAGAATGAAGATAAACAAACGCTTCAAAATGTATCCGATGCAGGATTTCTTCCTCTTTCCAGTTGCTGAACTCCCATTGTGTTTCGTTGCAGAGGTGACGAGATATTTGCTGGAAATTACAACCACTCGTTTTTACCATGTCCAACTTTCGCTAATTCTCAAAATTTTTATATGAGACTTATGGAGGAACTCAAAGAACCAGCAAATAGGGCAAACCTTTTGCCAACAAAAGCAATTTTTTGTAGCCCTACGGCTTGTCTTTCAGAACTTCTACGATTTATTTTCTGAAGTGACCGAATTTTACATTCAGCCTATTTTATCCTGATAGAACATAAAATGTTAAACACTTCAGCCACCACTCGATGCAACTTTTTTTCCTCCTTCTTATACTTGACTTTTTTGCCGAGACAGGCGAAATTCGTGGAGAAAATCGCAGTATTTCTCAATTTTAGGAGTGCGCACTGACGTAACCTATGTTTCGAAATCTTCGTATCTTGAAGCAAAAACCGCTCATTTACTTTGAAATGGTAGCGGTGGTAGTAATCGAGTGTTGAAACCTCAGTATTCTGTAGATTTCGCAGTGTTTGGTGCAATAACGGGTTATGCAATTTTTCCAAAACACAAGACTTTTAGAAAATTATTTAGCAAAAATCTGAAAAAGCAGCCGAAAAAAAGAAAAAATGTACATGAGATGGCAAAAGGTCTGCCCTATCTGTTGGTTATTAGGGCTTCTTCGAACGTCTCATACAGAAATTTTGAAAATTAGTGAAGTTGGACATGGTAAGAACGAAAGGTTGCAAATTCCAGCGAATATCTCGTCACCTCTGCAACGAAACACAATGGGAGTTTAGCAGCTGGAAAGAGGAAGAAATTCTGCATCGGATACATTTTGAAGCGTTAGCTTATCTTCATTCTAGCGTGTTTGCCGATGGATTAAAGAAAATGACAAAACTTTTGCGCCAACCTAATATTTACAGGCTGTCCCAATCGAGATCAGGCCAACCTAGAGGTTATATATAGGATATGAGTAGGCGTACCCTCTGATTCGTGACCTAATTAAGGCTAGGTAATGATCAGAGAGCACGCGCGCGAAAGAAACGGAGACTGCGTCGCGGGCGCGAGCGGCCGCAATTGGTCACAAAACCGGCCTTCCAGCCGCCAAGTCTATTGAAACGAACGTTACGTGATCTTTATTGGTGTCGTTTTCAGGTACGCAAATATTCCCCAGACCCTGCCTGCGGACGACCACTCGAAGAATTGCTTTGAGTCGGGCCAGACTGCGCAGCGGACGCGCGCACGCTCGGATATGGGAGCGTACGCTGCGTACGTCCAACAGTCTGGCTCAACCTTTTCATCCCGTTTTCTGCTCTGAAATGCACGCGCAGGAGCACATATGGATGCAGGTGAATATGAATAAATCCAGAAGCGTATGAGGCAGACTGTACTAAAACTAAAAAACAACCAATAGGAGAAATTGGCAAATGGTAATTATGCCTCTTACAAGTAATTCGTTTCAAATTTTCTAATTTTTTTAAAAATTCGAGATTATGGTCCCGAAGAAGTTTTGGAAAAGCATGCCAGGTAAATTCTCGAAATACGCGGCTAGTGCCAAGTAATTCGTTTGAGAAAATTTTGTCGCACCCGTGCCTTTCTCGGATCTCAGACGGCCATTGCAACACTCTTCAGATATATGATCAAGCGAATATCACCGAACCTTACAAAATGCTTTCACCAATGCATTTAACCAACAAAAACATAATTGTGTATCCATTGAGAGAACTTCAGAAGTTTAATCTGGAGTTAAGGATCAACTGAGACGCTCCCAAATGCTGTAAATCACAAGCACCTCTCCTTCTCGTTTGAACTGCCAAGCTAATTTAGCATAAACCACGTTATTATCATTTACCTGCTTAAGCCGAGAAATGAGACAATCGAAAAAGATTGAAAGGCCAGCTACCCTTTGATCAGCGGAACGGTGGGAGGGGGAGGGGAGGGGTAAAGGACTATATGTCGCCGAACGTGGGAGGGCCCCGCGCGGACTTCTTGCAAAAACACATCTGCATGCATGTGCAAGGGCACGTTTGTTGCAAATGACCGCGGGGGCCGCCCCCTTTTGGCCACATATAGTTCTCCACCCTAAACCGTATCATTTACCTGCTTAAGCGGAGAAATGAGACATTCGAAAAAGATTAAAAGGCCAGCTACCCTTTGATTAAACGAACTGGCGGTTGGCAAGTGACCGCTCGCACACGCGGCGCAGTCTGCGTCTCCCTCACAAGCATGCTCTTTGGTCATTCTCTACTTTGATTGAGCTTCGAAGCCCCGTCTTTCAGCCGCCAATCCCGTGGAATCAAAGGCTAAATGTTGCGAAAACTATCAGTACTCATTCAGGCCTGGTCTTTAATGGAAAAAGGCGCAAAATTGTTCTCCTTGCGATTTTCGTATCATCAGCGCACAATGAAAAGACACGAAGTCCTTGTTATCATTCAACTTTTTCGGATCATCCGCATATCTTGGCAACTCAATAGTACTTGTAATGGATTGGAGCAAGCAAAAGCTCATCTCAAAGTGTAGCTACTTTTTGCAAAATTGTGGATAGTCCATCAAGCACTCGTTTGCTCAACGTGCGATAAGGAAATTTTATCTTCTGGGCGAGACCCTGCTCTGACATATGGTGCAAAAAATGGTTGGCGTCATTCGCATAGAGATTGTGTTAGTGTGGGTGTGTACCTAGCACTTATCTGTCAGCAGATCGTACTTGAACCAAACATACTTTAAGCAAAAATTTGCACCGTCGCTGACAAGATTAGCAAACGCTTCTACGGACTTTGATCAACTGCAACAAAATGAAATTTGTCAGGCTTCTACTGAGTGTTTACTCTGAGCACTGGTTCACTTCTCTGTCCAGCTTTCGGGTGTACAGAACGAAAAAAAGCTGCTCACACGTCTTGGAAATTTCGGCTAAGCGGAAGTGGCACAAAAAATGTCTCAGACTGTGAAGGTGGTGTTGATTTGCGAAATTCTTCGTGAAAACTTACATTTAAGTATGAATTGAACAGGAGAGTGGGCAAATGCTAGCCATCAAGAATCAAGGAATTAAGCGATGCATGCTTTTCGAAGCTACTTCAAACACCTAAATAATTCTTGAGTTTTGCAACAAGATGCTGTTTATTATGGCTGTTGCAATGCCCGTTTTTCTAGGCCTACTTTTCTAACAACTTTTTTCCTTCAATATTTCTTTCTCGATATAGATGCTGCATATTATTCGAAAGCTTTCTTCACATACTTTCTAACAGTGGTAAAATTAAGCTTCTCTCTCATCTGAGAATTTCAACAGCATCTCGTGCAGCTGCGCTCAAAGTCGGAATTTCGTTGCTTCAACATCCTTGGCCACAATTCAGTCGCAAATAAACGATTTTTTTGGAAACATAGCTGCTGTAGGTTGAACATTGTTTGCGTATAGCATGTTTAAGTAGATTTTTCGAAAATATCTGGACCGAGAAATCGAAGCCGCGAGATAGATACTTGCTGCTGGTATTCTGTGGGTCCAAAATTACTCATAAGGGGCAATCGCCGAAGCTTCGCTCATTTCAGTAACTTGAGGTCAGGACATCTTGCCTACAACTTTTGCAAAAAAAACCTAGCTATTCAGTACATGAAGAATTCCAAATTTTTCATAAATTGGGGCCTTCTGGTCTACCACAAATAGGCTCAAAAGTGAACAATTTTGAATCTCTTTCTTTTTTTTCGCAGGTTCCTTTCTGAAGTTTTTTCTAGACAAAAGTATACTACTTGCTTGCGCTTCCAAAATAACCTAATTAGCAGCCATATGAACAAAACTTGTAGGGAGTTGTAAATCTCTCAAGGACGAGGTTTTCAAAAGAAGAACTTTTGGTTTTTTGGCGCATGGTTTTATTCCCCTATGCGTTATCAGTATATGCTGGTGCGCGTTAGGTTAAGAAACAGATTACTGCTTCTGATTGCATTCATAAATATGGAGAATGGACAAATCTATAGCCTTTCAAAGTAAAATTTTGCAAAACAGAAATTATTTTGCAACAACCTAATAAAATCTCTAAACGCTAACAACCAGACCACTAGTTCCAAAAGCTCGGACACACCCTAATTCCTCAATTCTGACTCATCTGCTTTGAACAAATATACTTTAAATCTCCAAGGTCTTTTTAGTAGGGTAGCACTGTTCTCGTGTACATTTACACGCCTGTGATCGATCGGAGAGCAAATAGATGAACTATATAACTTAGCGAGAAACTGTAAACTCCTCGTCGCCTCCGACACGTCTACAAGCACTTACAGGTAGGGATAGCTAGAACACAGTCAATAATGTTGGCCAGATACATCAAGGTAAGCAAGCATTCGCAGTATACAATGTAAATTACCATCTGTCGGTTGTTCCATGCACTGAGTTTTGAAACTATAGTAAAATCATATTCGAAGTCGCTGCTTATGCTGCAAACAAGGCATACATTCTGCAAAGGTAGTCAACCGGATTCTTGGCAACGCCCAGTACCCAATACCTCAAAAGTTTATTGATCTCTAAAAAAATCTTGTTTTATTGCCAGCTAATTTGCTTTTTCCCCTTATCGTTTTTTGAGAAGCCATTAAAAAATCTTGTGTTTGGAGATAGCAAGAATGGTCAGAAATCGAAGTGGCAAATCCAAGCAAGCTGCATATCATTCGACGCAGCATAGAACGCTGACTTCACATGTGTCTTCTGTACTGCAGGACGCTCTTGTAGGCCAAGTTATAAGCAGCTTTAAAGCGAAGGAATCGTACATGAAAATTGCGAAATTGACCACATTGTTGCACTTTCAGCACACCTTTAGGCTCTAGGAGTATGAAGTAATCTAGCTGCATGTTTGGCCCAGCATTAAGCCGAGCATACTGTACTGCCAAATCTGCTTTGCTACGAAATTGTGCATTGCATGCACAATTTCGTAGCAAAGTAATAGCAGCCTTCATTGCTCATAACTTCGCTTACAAAAGCATTCTGTAGATGCGGAATACATTTTTGAAGTCAGCGTTTTATGCTGCACTAATGGTACGCAGCTTGTTTGGGCTGGCCAGTTCGATTTTTGACTATTCCCTTGTAAGTGTTAAAGTGTGCTAATTATTTGATAGCCTCCTTCGTGGGTAACAGCAATTTGTGATCAAAGTCAATCTCTGCTTTTCATTAACGGAATAGTATTATATAATTCAGCAAAACTGCAAAAGTTGTAGGGTGTTGTCATGAAACCGCTTGAAGTTGAGAAGAAAAAGTGTTCAGTCCTTTCTAATATATATTATGGCACATGTACGCATTTGATATTAGAACTGGAACCTTCAAAACGCAGAATGTAGCATAGATGTGGTGAAGAACGACGCATGTCTAAAGGGAGCAAATGAATTACCTTATTAGAAACTTACCATATGTTTTTTAGGATGAAGGCTATTGCGTGCCTCGTCACTATTTTGCTCACCTACAACTTCACACCCGTCTATGGAAAAGTGGTTAAAGACAAAGACGAGCCAGCTCGAACCAAAAGATGCATCGGTATTATGTGCTGCATCACTGGAGGCACTTCAAGCGCTGGATGTAGCACCGGCTATAGCAGCGGCTACACTGCGGCTGCTCCGGCTGCAGCGGCGAGTTACGCTGCACCTGCCGCTACATCTTATGCTGCCCCTGCAGTGAGTACAAGCTATGCTGCTCCATCATACTCTTATGCTGCCCCTGCAGCGACCACAAGCTATGCTGCTCCAGCTGCTACATCCTACGCTGCCCCAGCCGCTTCTGTGTCCTACGCTGCTCCGGCCGTGTCTTACGCAGCCCCTGCAGCGACATCTTATGCCGCTCCTGCCACTTCCGTATCGTACGCCGCTCCTGCCGCTTCCGTGTCGTATGCTGCTCCGGCCGTGTCTTACGCAGCCCCTGCAACGACATCGTATGCTGCTCCTGCCATCTCGACCAGTTATGCAGCCCCAGCCGTGTCCTACGCAGCTCCTGCGGCTACATCTTACGCTGCTCCTGCAGTTTCGACTAGCTACGCTGCACCAGCCGCCACCAGCTATGCGGCTCCCGCTGTGTCCACTAGCTATGCAGCCGCTCCAGCCGCCACCACCTCTGTATCTTACAGCACCTCGTCTTCACAATGTTGTTGTGTGTCGTGCTGCGTAGTCAGCAACGTCTGCTGCTGCTAACTTTCTGTAAATTTATGCCACTTAACTTTTCACAGTTCTTAAATGCTTTAGTGTAAGCTGCCATAAGAACACTGCTAGGTTTTGATCTTTAAGTGGCCCATAATTCCTCTAAAGACTATATCTAATGATGTAGCAATGTACTGCCGCAATTGCTGCCATGAACTCTCAGCATTTGATTTGATATCGTTGCGAGATGGTAGCGGAGCTACTTTTAATAGCTCGAGCTAGCTTTCGAATATGTTTTAGCTGAATTCGGTACGATAAACCGTTAATTTTATTTCGTACGACAATATTCTGTTGATTCCCATTTGTAAATAAGGAGCGTATTATTATTAATTTTCGCAGGCTCATGATATGATTGAAAATTGAAACCATATCATGAATTTAGCAGCTTATCTAAGCAGGTATGTTACCTCATCGAATTAGGTACAACGGCTGTATATTTGGTTTAGAGTTGTGCCAATGACATAAACCAACTATACTGCTTTCTTTCAAAAAACGAGCAAAGTTTTGACAGTGTTTTTTTGAGCCTATGTGGTTTGAATACAAAATACTTTGTTCTATCATTCAAAACCTAGTTCATAAAACTCATACACTTTCGGCAGCGCCTCGCATCTTCTCAGACAATCACAGGCTCTCAGCCGGCAGCCACAAAGCCACTGCGAAAACCCACCAAAAGCGCGGTGGCTTTGTGGCTGCCGACTGAGAGCCTGTGATTGTCTGAGTTAGTAGTGTCTACGTGTTAGGTAGGGCGCAATGTCAAAGTGAAGGAATGCCGGAAAACAGAAAGAAAAGCTGAACGTCTATCCTTCATCTACAACACTGCGTTAAAGTCTGTTAACTAAAAACGTATTTGTCACAATGCATTAATTACATTCAAGCTCTTCGAAATATAGAAGAGCATATTCTATCAGCATGCAGATCCAGCATATAAGAAGATTCAATGCGTGGGCCTTCGTAGTCCTCACTTTCAGCAGAATTTCGAAAATTAATATTAATCAAAGTTTTGTGCCAGAAAGAAGCAGTTGCGTTGGTCGAGCATGCTCTTACAAATTGAGAGAAATCTGCTTGAGAACGTGATAAGCACCAATAATCTTCTTTTCAAGTCATACCTTATTAGTCAACTATGTTGATTACATTGTTCTTTTGCTTGGAAGCAGGGTCAAGCGTGTGATGCGACTGTCGCAATGAGGGGTCGTAAAAGGGGCCTACGGTGAGGGGAGGGGAGTCGTAAGAGGGGGTAGTTTGGATAAAAAACCGTACGATTGAAAGCAAATCAAATAGCAAGCAATTATTACATGTTCTTAACAATAAATTCATGGAATACCGTGTACCAGTGTATCAAATAAAAACGAGTGAACAATAATTTGAAAACGTTTGCAAGCGTAGAAATTCGCTTCATTTGCTGCACTTTTGAAAGATTATGACTTAGTTCTTTTTTTTTATGGAAATCGCTATTTCTCCCGCAAAATATTGTCTCAAACGGGGATCGAACCCTGCTGGATGACTGAAATCCAAAAAATAAACACTTTCAGAAGCTCAAATGCTACTAAAGGCATGTATGTGTGATAAAGATGTTGGATGTACCGATTGGTGTAGACATTCTGCTTCCGAAGGCTCACTGAAGACTCGCACACTCGACAAAAGCACACATGTAGATCAACGATGACAATCAATAATTCGTAAATCTTTTTGTAATGCCATTTATGCGGCCCTTACAATTTATATGTACTTTGGATAAGCCCTGCTACTGCTGTGCGAAATCTGGTGTTATTCTATAAACTGCGGATTTTCCTATGGTTTTATGTATGGCAGCAAAAAATGAGAAAAGGGGGGTCGTATCTGCGCCTGATCTAAATTTCTCCGGAGCTATCGAAGCTTGTTGGCTGCAATTCTGCTTTAATATAAGGCCATCCTCCTACTTTCCCTCGTAAAAATTGCAGGCTGTTTTATAACTTCTCTGGTAAGTTACAAAATTTCAAGCTCAAAAATCCCAGTTTTTGCTTTTTAGGATCGCATCTAAATTTGCGAGAGCCTGATCTAAATTTTTTCGAGCTCACTGCCCCTCAAGGGCTGAAACTTTTTCTATGATTAATCTGGGTACTATGCTACAGAACCTGTTCTTTGTAGCCTCTCAGTCTTTTCCTGGCCTTAGTTACGAATTTTCAAACTACCGTGCTCATGCATGTTTTTGACGTCGTTCTGGACGGCGCTAAAGCGCTTTTTTTCGCAGGAAAAACTGTGGAAGAGGTAAGAACTGAGCTTCTTAGTCGAAAACATCTTTTGTAGTTCAAGAATGTCATTTTGTTCTCCGTGTTAAATTTGTGTCGCATACGGGAATCGAATTTGCTGGCCTGAAGTATGCCTGAAAATTCAAAAGTAAACTTGCAGAATCTCAAACATTATTGAAGGTGTGTATATACGTGCTAGAGAGGTGGCGCACCCATTGGCCTAGAAATTCTGCTTCCGGAACCTCAGTGAAGTTCTCACGCAGGTGTTTTTTGAGATTGACATTCGTTTATGCATGTTACCGCGAGAAATGTGGGCAGCGGAGGTAAGGGCGATAGATGGGGGAGGGGGAGGGAGGGGGGAGGGGGGGGGGGTCGTACGGATGGGTACCTTCAGGGGGGGTCGTGAATGAGGGTCTAGGATCGCATCAACACGCTTGACCCTGCTTGGAAGTTAAAAGTTATAATTCAAATTTACAGATCTTACTGAAAAACTTTTGGAATGAATATCAGTAACTGCGGTAATTTTCAACATTACGCTGTCATCAAGACAGATTTTACCAGTGCGCACAAGAAAGGTAGGAATGATTTAAGCAGCGCGAGCTTCTGTAAGCACAGGCGACGCACTGGTCTGATGGAGAGCTCTTACTGTTGTAGCCTCAAAGAGTTAAACGATTTTCAGTATTGGAAGCATGTGAGAGTGTCATAACAAAGAAATTCATTTTCTACTTGTTTATTACACTACCATGGAAGATGTTTAAGAGTTATTAAGCGCACATGCAAACTCGACACTCTCTTAATAACCAGCTCGAGTCATTGCAAGCAGAGGTATGTTTTGGTAACCATGCTACCACACTGGAGAATAAAGCTCACAATGTCAGAAGCTCGCATTAGCCTAGAAAGATTGAAAGGAACACTGCGTGCACTTGCAAAAAGCTCGCGAGACACCCGTCTGCGTTGATTATGCAACGGTTTGCTTTGTCTTATTTGTAAACTCCATGTAACGCTCGTAAATTGTCAGTCCTATGAGTTACAGACATATTCAAGTCTGTCCCTCTCGCTCATATTCAGTGAACAAAGTTCTTTTCAACTGAATTAGCATAGGTCATAAGCTGTCATGACACCAGTTTTGAATTCAGTTATTGCTTCGTCAAACTTGCAGCAAAATTTGCTTTTCCCCAAGTTCCCATCAGATGCGTGAAAATACATGAAGTTGTACAAACAGTAACGCTAGCTGTCTTACATATTGTACTTAATTTTGAGCAAAGATTGTGTTAAATGTGCAAAATAATTAAAGCTGCTTTAAACTGGTAATCTACGTGAAGACCAGAAACTTTTCAAAGATTGTCGTATTTTTATATTTCAATTTTGCAAAAAATTGTTAAGATCCACATTAATTGATAACGAAAAGTAGACTACGACACCCGCCCCGCTGTATACGTGCAAAGTTTACACACACACACACACACACACACACACACACACACACACACACACACACACACACACACACACACACACACACACACACACACACACACACACACACACACACACACACACACACACACACACACACACACACACACACACACACACACACACACACACACACACACACACACACACACACACACACACACACACACACACACACACACACACACACACACACACACACACACACACACACACACACACACACACACACACACACACACACACACACACACACACACACACACACACACACACACACACACACACACACACACACACACACACACACACACACACACACACACACACACACACACACACACACACACACACACACACACACACACACACACACACACACACACACACATACACACACACACACACATACACACACACACACACACACACACACACACACACACACACACACACACACACACACACACACACACACACACACACACACACACACACACACACACACACACATACACACACACATACACACACACATACACATACACACGATGTCCAGCTTTAGATATAAAATTGCCTCTTCATTAGACTTGTGAATGACGATATGTAGACTTTACTTTCTCAAAGGTCCCATTGAGCGCACGAAAAAGAGAAGGTTATGCAGACAATGACAGCTAGGTTAACACACCTGAACCTACGACTTGAGCTAAAATCAAATGCTTTGCAAGTGCTGAATTGAAAGTGGATTGGAGTTGAAATTACATGAAGATTTGGAGCAACAATGAGCAACCTTATAGACAGCAACATCAGGTTTTTAGGGCATTTTGAATGATTCAATATATTTCCATATGGATGCTGCAATCTAGTGAGGGAATATCGATTTGATCCAACAAACAAAAAAAGATAATGTATACTTTTAGGCGCATCCTCAAACGCTGATTACAAAACTGCTTTCCTTTTTTGCGCATCAACTCTTCAAAAGAAGTTATGAGCGTCTAAATGTCCAACTTTGTCAAATTTTGAATGGCATAAAATTAGCGACAAGCTATTCAAGACACCAAAAAAGGACGATAAATGTTATAACGATTTTTTCCAACAAAAAAAACGCAGCCATAGCAGCGCTTCTGTCTGGGAGATCGTTACTGAGAGTCTCTACGCAGCCAAACATTTCATTCTCAGCGAAGATTGAACCATCTTCTCCCATCTTGCTATTAAGGTGAAATGTAAAAAATGGGGCCGCTTGATTTTTACTACACTTTGAAATTTTTTG